AGGTGGGGGGGGGGTGGAGGCTATGGGAGGGTGCCATCTGTGATGTGCTTATGAAGATGAATAAGATTGCTTGGCATGTTCTGTATGAAATACACACAAAAAATCAATAAATGAAAAAATGAGTCATATTTGAGGAAGAAGCATAAAAATTTGCTCCTTAATAATTAGTAGATATGAAAAACATTACCATTGAAATCTCTGTTGAATTTATGTACATGCTCAGATGTCAAGGATCTCAGAAAGTAACCTACTGTGACTAGTAATAATCAGATATGTATAGATTAGAAACGCATGTGCAAACATCATTTTAGTTGGGTTAAAATGAATTTTTCTATATGAAACTATGTATTTTAATAATGAAATGGAGATCTTTTTTAAAGGTTAAAATCTCATTTAATTTTATATCTTATAGGGTTTATACTGAGTACTATATTGTATAACTGTATTAATTCAATTGTAAATCTAAAAATTTACAACCAGTTTTGAAAGGAATGCATCTTAGCTCTGGAAAGTGTTACTGAATATGTCAATGCTGTTGTAATGAAATGCTTCTTCTAATTATGTGATTATTAAATAAATAACTTTTAAAAAGTGTGTGTGTGTGTGTGTGTGTGTGTGTGTGTGTGTGCCTGTGGATGCCAGAAGAAGACATCAGATCTCCTGGAGTGGAGTTACAGGCTGTTGTAAGCCACCCAATTTGGGTGTTGGAACCAAACTCAGGACCTCTGCAAGAACAGTAAGCACACTTAATCCCCAAGCTATCTCTCCAGCCCATGTTTGAGCTTTCTCAATATTTTAATCATTGGTTCTGCTGTTTATTAAATAGAGTAATAGCTACCTCATATGTTGTCAGAAGAATTAAATGATTTTTTTGATATTCTGCAATAGTGTTCTGTGCATAGTAAATAAAAAATACATGTGTTCAGTAAGGTGCTGATAGTTGAAAAAAAAAAAAAAGACCACATATGTATGTATTTGTAAAGCAATGAGCCACTGCTAGAGGAATTCTCCGTGCAATTGTGTTAAGTATTTTGTGAATCTTTTTTCAGTACTTAGTGTCTGTACAAATGAGGGACTTGATAATCTGTATTATTTAAAGGGAGGTTGCTCTACATAGACATGTAAGTTGTTAGCCTATCAATTTAATGATTATTGTCATTAAACTTTCCAGTGTTTGAGAAAACTTTCATTTTTATTAGAAGCTGGATTCTCACCTTAAGTTTTTGAACATGTCTAACTTTCTTGTTCCAAAATAAGTGACAAAGAAGCAGAATTCTCCCCTTGCTCTTCAAACAGGAGCCTGTGGCATCTTTAGAGGTGGGAGGTGGCCAGTGCTCTTGGGGGCGGTCTGTGACAGGTCTTTGCTTCCTATCCCTGCAGGCCTTGTGCAGAATCACTCGGCAGTCTCCTGCTGCCTTCCAGAATGTCATGGAGAAGGTGGGGCTGAATTCGGTCATTGGCTCCTTGGCATCCGCCACCTGCAAAGTACAACACTGCATGCTCACCCTGTTTGCTGCCATGCTGTCCTGTAGGATTCATCTGCAGCGTCTCATCCAGGAAAAGGTTTGTGTCCACACTCACCCAGGACTCTGCTTTATTATT